TTGCTGTGTTTTTCAACTTTTTCGTTCCAAGCTGTTTGTTGTTATTTCGGTTTTTTTTTTCTTCTGTCATTTACAATAACGGTAATTAATATAACCGTTATTTGCCCTTGCCTAAACTATGCATATATAAAAAAAAAATAATAACTGTTTTTTGCTTGTTTTTTTTTTGTTTTTGTTTTTTGTTGTTTTTGGTTTAACACAAAACTTTGTATAAATAATAATTGTCGCGCTGGTTAGAGACACGTGTTAATTTATTTGAATTTCTAGCTGCGCAGTTTATTCGCATTTTATTCAAATATTTTCTTTGTTTTGTTTTGTTTTTTTTTTTGAGTTAAAAAAAAAAATCAATTTTCTTTTTATAAAATATAAAAAATAATAATTAACATAAAAACGTTCTGAACTGGTTTGGTTTTTGTGTTTGTTTTGTTGCTGTTGCTGTGTTTTTGTTTTTGCTTTTGTTTTTGCTTTTGTTTTTGTTTTGTATTGTTTTTCTTGAATCCTCATTTAACAGTAATCGGCGGCCTGTTAGTTCTTCGGCATTGCCTTCCAATGCAATTCCAAAATCCGCCGACGACTTCCAGCCAACAACAGCTGCGCAACAGTTTAGTTAGCTGCTGTTGTTGTTGTTGTTGTTGTTGCTGCTGCATCGGCCGTGTGATTATTGGCACTGCTGTTGTTGCCCCTCTTGCGCTGGTTCACTCCGCCCGCTGCCGTTGCTGCTGCTGGCGTCGCAGGGTTGCCAGATTTGGTCTTGGTGCGCATCGAGCCGTTGGCCACGCGCACATTCCCTGAACTATCTGTGAGATCCTCACTATCACTGGAACGTATGTCGCCGGACATCTGCAGAAGCACATGAAAGAGAAATGAGTAATGTAATTAGTATAGCACAATTGTTTTATTGCACGCATATTGTTGTTTGGGGGTTATTCTTAAAATGTACACATGAATGTAATGGTATAACAATGAATAGTTATTGCACAATGCACAATTTGAAATTTCTCGTCAAGTCATCAACAGTCGCTCACTCAAACCAACTTCACGTTCTCCAACTTCGGGTTGACACACCACATTCTGTTAACCCTTTTTTTCACTGCTTTGCCCAGCGTTGCCATCCAACATGGAGAGCAGCATTTGATGACGTCACAACTCCTAATATACACACAAATGCAATCTTGGCTAATTACAAGAGCGTTGCCATCCAACATTGTGTATTGCATTTGGTGACGTCACAACTGTTAATATACTCAAGTGCACTGTTAGCTAATAGGAAGAGCTCCCTCTAACTGTTCGTTTCATCGACTGCATACTGTTATATCTCCCATTCATGCGGTTTAACTTATTTTCATTCAAAATGTGAAGGTGTAATGCATTACAAAATGATTGAAGATGAGCACGTACTAAACTTACCAGGCCCTTTTGCAAGGAGTCGACCACAATCTTCAGAATCATATAGGTCCAGATGACGTGCAGCACCAGCAGCATTAACAGCAGCGAATTGAATATATAATAGGCTGGGAACATGGGCAGAATGCGAGGTGCCTCCACAGATGAACTGGAACAAAAACAAAAAAAAGAAACGGTAAACGACGAGCAGCGTGCAATTTTGTGAGGTTATGTCACCTGTAGATAATGCGCGGATAGAAGCCCAGACGTGTAACAATCCAGACAACCGTGAAAATGGCAAAGATCGCATCGCAGACCTTCTGATAGTTGGCATATTTGGTCAATTTGGCAGCCTCAAGGAATATATCCGCACAGTCGTGCACGACCAGCACCAGGGAGCCAACGCGATGCAGGTTGCACACCCAGCTGAGCGACATTAGCAACAGTGTGACCATATGATGTATAAACATTTGCCAGAAATCCTTGCGCTTCACATCGAAAAACTGTGTGGCCGTCAGCGACCAGTAGAACGACATCGATATCATATAATACCACCAGATATCGTTGCTCACCGACTGCAAATGGAAATGCATTTGATTCGAGGCATATTGATTGACCCAACCCATCAATCTATCACTCACCTGATGCGGATAGCCATACCAGCAGGTCTTGACATCCCAGAACCAGGGCTTGTCCCACAGCACTATTACGCCGAATATAAAGCTATACAGATAATACAGGCACCGCCATGTGTTCTCGCAGAACTTCACCAATGTCGACGGTTTGTCCTGGGCGCGACGCAGACGCCACCAGCGCTCGATTTGGCGCTCAGACATGTCCGCCTGCTTGGACAGCGGTGCCAGCTGCGAGGGGCAGATGAAAAAGAAGAAGAAAGGTAATTTATTTAAAAAAAACTGATTGATTGATTGACTGATTGATGTTCACTGTAGAGCTCAAAGCGTGAGAGCTGGGTGCATATATGATATAATTTTCAATTTCGCTCAGTAAGGAAATTTATCTTAAGAACTGATTGATTGATTGATTGACTGATTGATGTTCACTGCAGAGCCCAAAGCGAGAGAGCTGGGGTGCATTAATTTCTCACAGGTAAATACTTTTATATATAATCTTCAATTTCTCTCAGAAAGGAAAATGTATTTTAATAGCTGATTGATTGATTGATTGACTGATTGATGTTCACTGCAGAGCTCAAAGCGTGAGAGCTGGGTGCATAAATTTCTAACAGATGAATAGTTTTTTGATATAATCTTTGATTTCCCTCAGTAAGGAAATTTCATTTAAAAACTGATTGATTGACTGACTGACTGATTGACGTTCACGAGTGCATAAAAATACTTTTTTTGTCATATAAGGTTGCGATTTATCGCATGTTTTAGACTTTTCCTTTTTACGAAACGATTCAATGAAAAGCAGTTTGTCCGGGCAAAGCCGGTTAATGCTGGTTCTACTCATGCTAATCAATTCGTCGAATAGTTGGGTTAGTAATTATTTGATGGAACTCGTTACTCACCCACTTGTGGTCCAAATGCGATGATTTGGCATATGCCAACTCTAATGTAGGAACATTTGCCGCTTTCTTAGGTCTAGAGCTTCGTATGCCCAACGATTTGCCAATCGGAGATATCCAAAAGCTGCAATAAACCGACAACAACAAATTTATAGGGTATATACACGCATATATATATATATCGAAATATGTCTAGTTATTTATTGGAATAGATATGCAATTTGATTATACTATGAGGGCGAATATTTAATCAAACGCGTCTTAACTAACAAGTTGACAGATTAGCGAATACCCTGTAAACAAGCATGTTGTAGTGTAGACTTATCAAATACCCTGCCTGCGAGTGTGAACTGGATAGAAATACTCTGTAAACTGGCAAGATCTGTTTTGAGTATGGAAAATGTTGCAGAGTGGGTAGACTAGCAGATACTCTGTAATCAAGCAAACTATACTTAAAGAGAAGAATGGTAAGCTTCGAGATTCTTTAAAAAGAAGAAGACTAAAGCAGACACTGCTACCAACTCTATAAGTAGGAAGTCAGGACATACCCTGTAATCAAGAAACACATTCTCCTTGAGTAGAAGGACTAGCAGACGCCCTGTAAGCAAACGATCTATCCCTTAGGGCTTATGGTTGAAATATACCCTGCATAAATACAGCCTGCCCACGAGGTAGAGTAGCATCGCCTAGCAGTTGCTCTGTAATCATTCGAAAAATCCAAAATATACCCTGTAACCAAGCAGAATCTCACACGTTAGGACTGAAAGAAATCAAGTAGCCGGAAAAAAAGTAGAAGAACAAAAATGTCTGTAGGTGATGTTGTCGCCAAGCCTGTTTGAAATACCCTGTAATCGCAGAACATAATTCAGCAAGTTCTAGCATACGCTGTTTCTTAAGCTTTGTCTTTGTCGCATTTATTGATAATTTCTGGGGCAGTTAATTGGAGAGCTGATAAAAACGTTTATCTTGAAAACTGTGAAACAATATTTTTAGCTCAATTTAATTACAAACTGAAATTTGGCAACGGCGCACAGAATTGAATTGAACGCAATTTGCAAACCAAACACACAAGAACTTCATTTAGGCACAAAACAATAGAGAATGCGGAACTTGTGCTTGCAGCACATTGACATTCCACATCCAAAAAGCGACATTTGGGCAGGGCCCCGGGCCATACCCTGTCCGGCTGTCTGGCACGTGTGAAGCATGGCAACACTGGACGACAAGTGTTGGCTAGCGGCCGTGCATAAGTAATTAGTGTTGAGCATAGGCGCAGCGCATGGCATTCTAGCTTGGATCTTGGGGCACACGAACGCTTTTCGGAAGTTAATTTGCTAATGAAATCGAAAATATGGCTAGGCCCCAGACAACCCTAGATGATAGACCCCCCCCCCCCCCCCTGCCACCCTCCCTTCCCACTCTCGCACGCTCTCTGATCAAGAGTCGATCGCGTCTGGCATTTTAAATCAATTGGTGGCTTTTGTTTGCATCGTCTTGCTATGCGCACACATTCCTAAAAATAGAATTAAGGAAGCCCATAAATAATTACTTCAAATTATATATATATATTTATTGCCTAACAACCAGGGCCAAAGGGTCGTCGCATGAGTTTTGATTTGCCTTAATTATAATAATTAATTTAACCCAAACAGCGCTGACTCCTCCCCCCTCGAGCTCGACCAAGTTCAAGTTCAAGGGCCAAGCACATAGAAAATATCACAAATCTCAAGTGCCAGGGCCAGGGGCCTGGTCGACTTGAGCATGAGCTACATTATGTATTTGCATTGCCAGTTTTTCACTCATTTTCCACGCCTGATTGTGAATTTCTGTGCACGGGAACATATGAAATTCCACACCCATTCTTTCGCTTTGTATTTCCATTGCCAGTTTTTCACTCATTTTCCACGCATGATTGTGAATTTGTTATAAGCTTTGGCTTCTCTAGACGAGAACATTTGAGAGTCCATAAATTGATGCGTTTTATAAAACGCATGGAATATATTCCACGGTTCGTTTAGGGCACCTTTTCCAAATGCATCCATTCTTTCACTTTGTATTTCCATTGCCAGTTTTTCACTCATTTTCCACGCATGATTGTGAATTTCTGTGCACGGGAACATATGAAATTCCACACCTTTTCCAAATGCATCCATTCTTTCGCTTTGTATTTGCATTACCCATTTTTCACTCATTTTTCACGCATGATTGTGAATTTGTTATAAGCTTTGGCTTCTCTAGACGAGAACATTTGAGAGTCCGAAATGTGATGCGTTTTATATACCACGGTTCGTTAAGGGCGCAACTGCCAAATGTGAGGTATACGTGTTCATATCTAACGACCAGTGTTGGCAAAGCCCTTTTGCAGCTTGTGTGAGGCGCGACGCACTAATATGCCCCGCTCATTGGACGGCAGCGCAGCAGCAGCAGCACCGGCACCAGCAAATGTTTTATTTTCAAATAAATATGGGCTTGCGCCCGCATAAGTACGCAATTCATATGCATGCACGCCCGCCCGCTTCCACATGAATATAAATATATATATGTATATATATATATATTGGTTGCGACAAGCTACGAATTTGTAATGCCCACTTATAGGAAGCGCGTTGAAGCGTGCACTCCAGCCAATAAATATTAAGAAGAACAAATTAATAATAATAATAAGCAGAAGAAAACAAATCTAGTAACAATTTCGTCAAATGACAGTTGACAGAAGAAAGAAATTGAACAAATTGCACGCTACACAACACTAAACAACAGCAAACACCAATACTACTCGATACTTCCGCAGCAGCAGCGCAGCCTCGCTGTTCAATGTCTGCACGAATCTACCACGAACGGCAGGTGGCGCAACTGTGCGCACTGCACGCCCTAAACAATCTGTATCAGCGTCGCAATCTGTTCAGCAAGCAGCAATTGGATGATTACTGTTATGCGCTGACGCCACGCGTCTGGCTGAATCCGCATCGCTCGTGGCTGGGCTGGGGCAATTACGACATCAATGTCATCATGTACGCCGTGCAGCAGCTGAACTGTGAGACAATTTGGTTTGATCGACGCCGTGATCCGCATTGTCTCAATCTGGCCGGGATCTTTGGCTTCATACTGAACATCGGCGTTGCTGTCCGATTTGCCTACTATATAGAATTGCCCGGCGTGCGTAGCCGGCATTGGGTCGCCTTGCGGCGCATCGATGGCAATTATTATAATCTGGACTCGAAGCTGGCGCAGCCGCGTTGCATTGGCAGTGCGCACAAGTTCTTGGATTATCTGCGCCAGCAGCTAAGGCCCGAAAATGATCATGAGCTATTCGTTATTGTGGCGCGGCAGCGGGCAGAGCAGCAGTGTTGGCTAATGCCCGAGTATCGGCTCATGCAGGAAAGCGAGTAATCACACACACACACACACACACACACACACGCCCCTAGGTTTGCAATAAACATTTTTACTTTGGCAACGATAACAACAGTTTATACGCGTATAACAGTTGTTGCCGTTAGCATTCGCTGTGCGTGCAGGTAATTACAGTTACGTACATGCATACATGTATACATGTATACTATAAATGTGCATGTGTGTGCGTCTTCAGCTTATGCCAATTTAGCTTTTTTTTTTAGCGGTCAATCTGGCTTGCTTTTGAAATACCAGATATATAATGTGTATAGGATATAATCAAGGGCTGTGCAAAAAGAATACTCCTAATCAATGTAGCAAATCGAATGGAAGCATTATCCATATATATATATTATCTATTGACTAAGCCTTTTAGGGCACATGAAATACAAGATAAGATTCAAGTAGTATATATATGTATATATCTCTGCAATAGAATGTGTCAGCGATTTTAAGGAGCACTTCTCCACTTAATTTTGCTATTTGTAGCAGTATTTTTTTTTTTTTTTTTTAGCTATTTTTCGTTAGTTCTCAACACTGGCTTAACGAAGCGAATGCAACCACTCGATTAGCAATTAACGATAAATGCCATAATTAATTTGAATTAATGTCAAACGCAAATGCATGTTTTGATATGCATTTAAATACGTTTGTTTTGTACATCAAAGCGACCAAAATTATGGCTAGAGTCCGGCAAATGGCGCTGTTATCAGCACATGCACAACAACAGAGCAGAGTGTTGCCATTTCGGCAAATTACAGCGTGTGCGTGTGTGTGTGTGTACAAAAGAAATGAGAGAGAGAGAGAGAGAGAGAGAGAGGGAGTAAAACATTCGCTTGTTAATGATAATTCAACACGCAAACGATTGGACGATACAGTACGAAAAAGTAAACACATTAAAATACTGTACATAAGTACGATGACGATGACGCATGCTCTTTAACATAAACCTTGGACAGTGTCATTCGAGCATTTTTGCGGCGATAACAAGATCAACAGATGAATTCGCTGCACTAACTAAGCCGACTGTTATCTTGCGCTGTTAAACAGCTGACTTGAAACCACAATAACAGCAGCAGCAGCGGCAGCCAACAACAACAACAGCAGCCATGCTGTTAATTGCCGTTTAACATATTTTTCAAAGCGCCCGCTTAATGCGTGCGTGCGTGTGTGTGTGTGCGTGCGTTGCCGGCGGGCTTCTGTCTGCGTAAAGCACGTGCACTTTTCGGCCTTTCGCTTGGCCAAACGGTAGGCAATAAACCAGTAAAGAAAATAAAAAAAAACTAGTTTGGATTAACGACAACAAACAATACAATAGCCAATTGTAAACTGTACATGTATGCATGTATGTGTGCGCATGTGTTCATTCTTGGAAGTGCGCGAAATGTCTATGGAGAAACTGCAGTTCAAGCACACGCACAGACAAATTGCATATGTGTGTGTGTGTGTGTGTGTGAAAATGAACTCTTAATTTGATAGCATTGGGCTGGCTGGCCGCACACGTTATGTGAGGGTCGTCTGATACGTAATCGCAAGAAATAAACAAATACACATATAATTTACACACACATACACATATGCATATATATACACGCACCTCTGCACATATATAATAATCGCATGTTGTATGTTATGTGTTTGAATGGAATTGTTTCTGTTTCTTTTTTTCTTCTTTTATAGCATTCCAGTGTGCGTCCAATTTGGAAAATCTAACCAGACTTGCTACGAATGGAACGGAACTGAGTCACAGCCTTTCACAGCACTGACTCAAGCTGACACACACACACATGCACCACCCACACGATGTTACGTATGTATGTATGTATGTGTAACGTAATCGCAGATAGCAGCGCGCATTATCAAATTTGTATTCAACTTTTACGTAAATCTTGCGCGCAAATCTTATCAACAAATGCTCAAGCTGTGCGAACGAGTGTGGATTCTTGTTGTTGTTGCTGTCGATGCCACACGCAAACACACACACACACACACACAGCTAATTTGTTGGCGACCCTGAAAGCCAATTCTTGTTTCCGAAACTCTGAAAATCAAAAAACCAGTCAACCCTGACAAACATTTATGTTATAGTTCAATAGAAGCGTCCACAAGAAATTCACTTTGTGACGTCGAACGCTTAACAAAAGGCAATAAAAAAAACAAAAATATATTGGAATTGCGGAATGGAACGCAGTGCAGGTGTGCCTTGCCCCATTTGCCCAATTACATGTGTGTGTGTGTGTGCACAAATTCACGTGAACATTTGTAATTATGTTAATTACAACATGCGAAATGCACGCAACACACACACACACACACATGCCGCGAGTTGTAAGTGTGTGTGTGTGTGTGTGTGTGTTAGCTTTGCGCTAAGCAAATGTAAGGTTAATTGGCCCAAAAAAGCAGCACAGTGTGCCCAGCTGTGCAGCTCTACTGCACAGTGTGCTGAATGCTGCAGAAAAACAAAAACAAAAAACCAAATATGATAAGAGCCCTTATCAAAAGCCTTGCTGGAAAACACCTTCGCAGCATTATGCATTTCGTTGGAATTCAATTGACTCACATGAGCCCAAATATGACTAATGCGAGGCATATCGCATTTATTGCAAATTAGTTGTTCGTGACAGTTTTTTCTTTTTTTTTAGTACTGCAATCGCTTTTTTGCATGTCAGTATCAAAAGAATCGCATAGAATTTCCATCTTCAACTCATTCGCACGCTAGCAAATTAATTTAATTTGTGTGTGTGTTATTTTTTCCAATTTCCCAAGAATAAACGAAAAACAGCAGATTGAATTATGCGAAAAAAAAAAAAAACAAAACAGCAAGGGACAAGTTTTTTTTGTTATAAGAAAAGGTATTATTTTAAATATGTTTTGCATTGAATCTTATGTCAGAATTGTCATGCTGATATTTTGAGACTTTTTCAAAAGGACGCAGACCACTGTTCGGCACACACACACACACACACTTGTGAGAAAAAAGCATTTGCAGGGCGCCGTTGACTTTGCTGTTATTGTTATGCTTGTGTTTGTTTAGTGCATACAAGTAAACAAATAGCATTTATTATTATTATTCTATTTTCTTCTTCTTCTTTTTGTAAACTAAACAATTAGTAAGCGCTGTGCGCGGTACGGACACCGCAGAGCAGATCGGCTGCGCTCTCATATTTGTATTTGTGCATTTGTGGGAAATTGAGATTCCAATGGAACGCGACGTCGACGTCGACGCCGCTGCTGTTGTTGTTGTTGTTGAAATTGAAGAAGTGGATGAAGGAAAACAAAGTTGCAAGGCGTTGGCAAAGGGAGGGTAACACACGCACGCACACACACACACGCACAGCAGAATACATACAATGTTGGGCGTTTCCACATGAGGTTATGTTTGGCTTAAAAGAGCAAAAATATCAAAAAAAAAAAAAAATGTATGTGTATGCGTATGTATGTACGTGTTTGCGGCGGCGGCGTCAGCTTACTGTACATTGCACAGCATGCATACGCACACAAGCAAACAAAACGAGCGTGTGCCTGTGTGCCGTGTAGGTGTGCCTGTGTGCACAATGCCAGTGCTTGAAAACGGCGCGGTCAATGGGAACATTTACAGTAAAATAAACCAGCACACACACACACACACACACACACACAAGCCTAAACGCCGCATAAGTTTAATGAATTGCAGCGACGCTGGAAAACGCTAAAACAAAAAAAAAAAGGGCGTATATACACACATGTAGATAATAACTGTAAGTTGAAATATGACTGTGCATGTGTGTATGTTCGAAATGAATTTTCATTTACTCACCGCTCCAATGTGTAACGCACCAGCATAACGACAGCGGCCAATGGAATTGGCCAAATCAAATCCCGATAGTTGGCGTGCACAACATCTGGACGGGAGCCGGGCGCTATATCCGCCCATGTTGTATTTGGCGGCAGCCAAATGTGCGTACTCCAAAATGCATCCGTGACTTTATTGATTATGTCCATGCTGGCCAGCTTTGATTTCTCTGCGTGATAACTGTTTCTGGTTTCGTCTTACTGCTGCCTCCTGTCCTTCTTTACTGTTTTTTTTTTTTTTTGTTCCCCACAGGGCGGCGTTGAATTAACAGGAATTTCTATTTGAGTTTAGTTAGATGTTGCGGCGGCTTGCTCTGTTGAGCTGTTTATTTGCTGGCGTTTCTGTTTGAATTCTTTTTTTGTTGTTTGGCCTGACTTCTGATTGATTTGTTGCTTTTGTGTTCTTCTTCTTTCTTTTTTTGCCTAGTGCTTTTTCATACTTTTTTGGTATGCCGTCGTCGTTGTCAGTTATATGTACATATATGTTACGTATACATAGCTATATATTTGTGTGTGTCCATGTGCGGATTTTGCATTCACATTAATTTATGGAAAAAAAAAAAACAAGAAATTAAATAAAATCCACCACGCGTTGCGAGTGGCAAGCACACAAGCACTTCTGTACACACACACACATACACACACACCAACGCACGCTGAGAACTAACCGCCGAAAATGACAAGCACAGTGGTCGCCGTTGCCGGACTCACAGGAAACTAGGCTGCGTGCAGAACACTTAAAATATCAGAGTTAACCGAACTGTTACGTTAAGCTTAACCGTATTAGAAACAACAAAAAAATTGGAATTAGATGAATAATAATAAACTATATATATATATAGATATATGTATATAGAGATAGATATATGAAGCGCGCACACACGAACCGCTTATTTATTATTATCGAGTGGATGGTTCGTTCTTGCTACCCGCTTGACAGCATTGCCAACACTGTGACAAAAGTTGTCAGTACTTGGGGCACATGATGATTTGTGAGCAAATAGGACTGTTATGCTCTACATGGGTTTAGGGATGTGTAAAATGCCCGCTCTTACACGACTGCCCATGCATATCGCATGCGGCATTTTATGTGTCATATCGATAACATCAAATGCAACCCTCAGCGCATTGACAGAGCTGCATGCATTTAACAACACTGCTGCACACTGTTTTTGACATTTGTGCTTCTTCATCATTGCGTTTTTTTTTATTGTGACACTGCAAGCGACATTTATTGTGTGTTAATTTTAGTTAAATTCGTTTTTAGCATATAATTTAGTTATTTAATTTATTACAATGGCTGAATTTCTGGACTCGGAAGCCGCTGAATCCGAGGTATGTCTCTATGCACATTTTCCAAGCGCGCAAAATGCGATACGCGCTCCGTTGTAGGGGCGCGTGTGTGTGTGTGTGTGTACATATATGTATATGTATATGTATTGCATTTTCTTTTCGTCTGCAGGATGAGGAAGAATTGGATGTGCACGAACGGAAAAAACTAAAAAAGCTTAAAGCCGCTGTGTCCGACAGCAGCGAGGAAGAGGAAGGTGCGTATCCAAATCCATAAATCCCGCCCAATTCCACAAATAATACGCCAAAACCACAATTCTTTGTATATGAACCCGTCGGCCACATTTACCTGGCATATTCCCGGTTTATGCCCCATTGGAGCCCCCCTGGGCTCAGTTTGCGTGTCTGTCTGCGTGTGTATCTTGGCCTGGACAATTGCGAAGCTAGTTTTTCCGGCCAGGGCAGGTGTCTGCCATTTGTTTACAACTTTGAGGTTATGTGCGTGTTTTTTTTTTTTTTTTTTTTTAGGGTATACAAGGGTATTTGCACTAGGTCACAAAATGTACAACGCACACATATAAAATGTATATATACACTTGCATGCGAGTTGTTGTCCAATTCACTTCCGTCTTCCGTTTGCTGCGGCATAGTGTATTAGGCATATATTTAATTAATCAATAGCAAGTTTTATTTATAAAACGCGGCGCAATGCAATTTATTGATTTTTCAATTATGAGCTGCAGAAATAAAAGCATCTTCAGCTTCTTAAATCTATATTTCTTCGATGTATATCAATATTAAACATTTGAAACTTGCTGCAGATGATGAGGAGCGTTTGCGTGAGGAGCTCAAGGATCTGATTGACGACAATCCCATTGAGGAGGATGATGCCAGCGAGAATGATTCGGACACGGGCAGCGGTGGCGATGAGGATGGCGGCAGCGGCAAGAAGCGTAAAAAGCATGAGGACGATGATCTGGACGATCGTCTGGAGGACGACGATTACGATCTGATCGAGGAGAATCTGGGCGTTAAAGTCGAACGACGCGTAAGTCCCAACCGTTAAGTGTCCCGATCGCCTCACAACTATTTCCAATTTTCTATTGTCTAGAAACGTTTTAAGCGCCTGCGACGCATTCACGACAACGAAAGCGATGGCGAGGAGCAGCACGTGGACGAGGGACTCGCGCGCGAACAAATCGCCGAGCAGCTATTCGATGAGAACGATGACGTAAGCACATACTGCCCGGATAATAGCTTGAACTAAATCCACATTTATTTCAATATACAGCAAAGCATCGAGAGACGCAGCGAGCGCAGCATCCGGGAGGCGGACACCTTCGATGACGAGGACAGCGAATCGGATGCCGATGATTTTATTGTGGACGACAACGGTCGTCCCATTGCCGAGAAGAAAAAGAAACGTCGACCCATCTTCACAGATGCGTAAGTACAGCCAAACTCTGCGATTCAAATCCTTGGCCCAATAAGCACATACAACTAGGTAGATTATGTTCGAGCTTCGAGTAAATCATCTTCAGCTTCTTGTATCTGCATTTCGTACTCTCTGATGCCAGCTCTTGACCAACTCTTATATATTCCCAAATGAAATCTTAAAGGAAATTTTAAAGTACACAAAAGTCGCCTTAACATGTTTTTCAATTCACATTTCCCAAAAGCCAATAAGCATAAAGCTTTATCCAAAAAGTTCAACAATAATTTCAATATTCTCAATGTGTGGCAAAATGTTTTGCATAACTTTGAAGATCTTCGCATATACCAAAAAAAGGCCTTAGCCGCAAATCGATATTTATCGATTTCAAGCAATTTTACATTTATTTTCCAATATTTTCCAACTCATTTTGTTTTGCTTTTGCAAAAAGTTTTATTATTTGTCGTCCATATCCAAAAATCGTTTCGGCTTAAAAGTGAAAAACAAATCGATTTCCGATTTGTTATCGTTTTGCTAAATCGATTTCGGATACGCATCTATTTTTCGTTTTCCCAAAAGTTTGTTCGTAATCGAAATTAAGGAAAAGCTCGCGTAGCTCTTATGGACTAAGATATTGACTCGGATCTCTGATCAATTGTGAATATGCCAAAAAAATGCATTTTTTTACCAATTCATAAGCTTACAATCGGTGCAGGGTATATAGGTTATCTATTGATTGATTGATTGATTGATGGACTTAAAAGCTTTATCCATCAAGGACTTTTAATATTGATATTGATTAATATTGATTGTTTAATAATATAATAGCACATACAGTTTTTTAGTTAATTGATGCAAATGTTCTTGTTCTTTTTCATTTGATTGATTGAATACACAATTGATTGACTTACTTAAAGCAATTAATTCAATCAATGTTATTATAAAAAACAGTTCGCATAGTTTAGCAAATGGCCCTTTTGATTAGCTGCACTTTGTTTGGTTTTTAGAAAACTAGCGCAATAAACAATCGATTGATTGATATGAATTGATTGATTGAATGTTTTGCTTATCAAGAAATATATGAATTAAAAGATAATATATTATAGATTGTAAAATAAAGTCATGAATGGATATGCATATATGCTCTATATTGAGGTTCTGTAGCTACATTACGTTTGATTGATGGCTTATTGATTGATTGATTGACTTGATTGCAACATAAATCATAAAAATGAATATAGTATAAATTTCTGCATGAGGACTAATTGATATTAGAAAAGTTGTGTAGTCGTTTGATTGATTTATAATTGATTGATTGATTGAATGTTTTGTTTATCAAGGCATATTCGAATTTGAATAGAACATATAATAAAAAATATTTGAAAATAAAGACATGGATCCAATGTATAGACTCTTTATTTGGCTTCTATAGCTACATGTCGCTTGATTGATGGCTTGTTGATTGATTGATTGACTTAATTGCGATATCAATAAAAAAAAAATGAATGAAGAATATATTGTGCATTGATACGATTGCAGACTTTATGTTAGCAAAGTTGTGTAATTAATCGTTTGATTGATTGCTGACTGATTGATTGATTGATTGATTGAATGTTTTGCTTACATAAAATGGGACTAATTGATAGGATTTTAGACTTTATACTGGCAAAGCTGCGTAATAAATCGTTTGATTGACTGATTGATTGATTGAATGTTTTCTCTTCACAAACGCACAGCTCACTGCAGGAGGGTCAGGATATATTTGGCGTTGACTTTGACTATGATGATTTCTACAAGCCCGAGGAGGATGAGTACGAGGAGGAGTCCGAGGGCGATGAATACGATGAGGATCTGTTGGGCGGCGATGATTTTCGTGCGGCTAAAAAGAAGAAATCACCGAAAAAGAAGGCAATCAAAAAGACAATCTTCGATATATACGAGCCAAGCGAACTGAAGCGCGGCCATTTCACCGACTTGGACAATGAGATACGCAAAACGGATATACCGGAACGCATGCAGCTGCGCCAGGTGCCGGTGACTGCGGTGCCGGAGGGCTCCCATGAGCTGGACGACGAGGCCAATTGGATATATCGTTTCGCCTTCTGCAAACAGACCGTATCCGAGCAGGAGAAGGCCGACAATCGCGAAAAGATGCGCAAACCGCCGACGGCTGTCAATAAAATCAAACAAACATTGGAGTTCATACGCAATCAACAGCTGGAGGTGCCCTTTATAGCATTCTATCGCAAGGAGTATGTGAAGCCCGAGCTGAACATCGATGATCTGTGGAAGGTGTACTACTATGATGAGCGCTGGTGCCAGCTCAACGAGCGCAAAAAGAAGCTAAAGCAACTGTTCGAGAAGATGCGACAATTCCAGCTGGAAACCCTGTGCGCCGATCCCGACAAGCCGCTGCCGGACGATGTGCGTCTAATGTTGGACAGCGATTTTGAGCGTCTCAACGATGTTCAGTCCATGGAGGAGCTGAAGGATGTGCACATGTACTTTCTGCTCAACTACTCGCACGAGCTGCCCAAAATGCAGGCCGAGCTGCGACGCAAACAGCTGCAGGAGAAACGCGAGCAACGTGCTCGCCGTCAGGCAGCGGCCAGCGCGGGCAGCGACGGCGAGACAAACGGCCCGGATACAATTGTGCCCGATAAGCCGGACAATAGCGTTGAGCTGGACGAGGC